AAAAAAAAAAAAAAAAAACTTCCCAGAAACTAGCTACAAAACAACTCCGACAGCCAAATCCAACCCCGAAGCCACGAATCCTCAAACCCTTTTCCCCTGAGACCTCCCAAAGGTCCTAGGAAGCCCCGAACACACCAGGACTCCCCATGAAAACCACTAAGACACGCAGAGCAGTATGCATAGTCTGCCACGTCCCTTATACCCCCTGCTGCTTTTACTATAATATCATGATGGGGAGTAATAATAGTCATAATAGTAATGATAGTGTTAACGATAATAATAGAAGATGATAAGAAGAAGAACAATAATAGTAATGATAATCGATAGTACTAATAGTCGGAATGTTATCGGGCGGGCTGAGGGCTAAGTGACCTTGAAGATGCCCCACCTGGCCGGAATGGAGCACCAGACTCGCAGGGCTGCAGAAGAATCAAGATAGCAGCGAAGCTGCAAACCTGTTATACGGGTTATTATAGGGATCATGGAAAAATGGAAACTACTATTTAGATCTATTTAGGGTTTAGGGTTTAGGTACTTGGGATTTGGGCCTGCAGTTTGGGCTTCAGGGTTTGAGTTGACATTTGGGGTAAAGGCTGTGTAGGGCTTTATGGGCTCAGAGCTACCGTTGTGGCCGTCACCATCTTGGTGATGGCCGTCGTCCTCATCGCCCTCGTCGCCTTCAAAGCGGTCGTCGTTGTCGTTGGCATCGCCGTTTCCATAACAAAAAGGCTATATAGGGTTTACATAGGGATTATAGGGTATATACTGGGGGCATATTGGGATAATGGAAAATAAAATGGAAACTACTATGCTAAATGAAATGCAGCCTGGTGGTTGGAACCAGGTAAATGTTGCATATCACGTGAACCCCTAAGAAGAAGATTCGAAGGACTGGCGCTGCAGGTCAGTCTCAGAGTCTCCCCTGGCCTTTATTGCGACAATATAAAGTCAGGGCCACCAGAAACAGATGACCTCATGCGTATTTACCAACCAATGATGGTAAGAATGGGAATCACGTAGTCCTCTAACTGAAGGCAGCCTACTGGCCGCGTTCAACAGATGTCACCGTGCTGACAGGGTGCCCAGACATGAACTTGCAGCGCCACGTTCAAGGAGAGGTACGGGTGCACCTTTCCAAGCGCGCGACCCCATACGCAGATGAAAGAGTACCTGCGACTCATCTGGGGTTCTAGAATTCTTGACTACGTGACTACGTAGGCCACATATTGCAGGCTGCCAAACAATCAGAAAAACCCTAAGGCAACACTCTTGGCCAGCAGGGAAGTTGCCCGTATTCACTCGCACCTGTGGAGCTTCATGCCTTGCCCCCTGGGAGGACTCAAAGAAACCACCGAGAAACTGCTAGTCAGCGGTAACATATCGCGGAACAGGGGTTAAGACCTAGGCGGTCAGGCCTTGCAAGAGCCTCCCGTGCATCTGTCCTTGTAAGAGTGATTCTGCAGCTCTTGTCAACCAACCATTTTTCCTAGCACTGAGCCCTGGATGCAGAGTCAGTAGAAATGGCTGCTTCAAGCCCCGCCCTCTAATTGTTTTCTCTGGCTTTGTATTGCACATGCTACTGCTTAGCCCTGAGCGTGGTCAGCATAAGTGCTATTGCCTTCTTCCTCATGCAGAGAGCATGCCTGAGTTTGCCTTGGCAGTTGCTTCCATGATGGCAAGGAGGAGGAGCAGGAGGGGGACGAGAGGGGGACAGGTCGTGATGATTCTGATGATGACGACGTGATGATCAACACGAAGCAGCGGGATGAGCCTCTTACTTTAATCTTCATGCCGATTGCTACGAGCAAGCTTCCCAATGCGTTTGTGTCCAACAGACCAAACTCACCCTCCTGGCCTTCAGCCACTCCTCATCACCGAAAGCATCTAGCCAACGAACCCAAAGAAAGGAGGCCACTGGAATGAGCCTTGGTTTGGTTTTGGATTGGGGGTAGAAGAGGTCCTCAGCAGGGGTCGTTGCGGTTTGCCTTTGCGGCCAGTAGCCCTGCATCGTATTTGTTGGGACTGAACAAAAGCCTCAGGCACAATCATGATACTGGTAAGAAGTATCCAGCTGTTGATTGCTGATTTCTAGATCTTTGTTCCAGGAGCATCGGAACCGATGGTTATAGATCCGGAGATTGGGTTTTTGTTTGGGGGCAAGGGACGGAAAGGGTGTGAGCCTTTGGTCAGAAATTGACACATTTCAACACCTCACTATAATACTTCTCAAGAAAGTAGGGAGGTGACCATGCAAGATAAACAACAAGAAGCACTTGCGAAGGTAAGCTGAGCAATGGTCACATAGTTACAAATAGGTGGCGATGACTACTGGCAAGCATGATTGTGCAGAGTGCTAACTCCTCCACTACCCACCAGATAAAGACTAATTTTCCCTGAGCTGTCCATGATTAAGAAGCAGACGCCACTTCAACATGCTCCCCGAAATGCCCCATGATTTTGGAAGAACAGTTCTGTCAAGAGGACCCCGTGACTGCAGCCACAAAACATTAGAACCAGCTTGAAGAGCTGCAAGGAGACCTGAGCACCATGATTCACCGCATGTACGTGAGTTCATGGCAGTATAGACACGGTAACTTCGTCTATTAACACGCTTGCATGGGACAGTCAGCCATATTGAATAATGCTACCCATAATAATAATCAACGATAACTAATATATACCTCCAACATGACATGCTGCTAGATGTGAAGTAGTGCAGCGCTCAGAACTATGCAAGTTGACCATACAGAGCTACGCTGCTACTCAGCATGCTCGTGTTGCGCAAGCGGAGTACGAGTGTTGTTCAGGACCTGTCTGCGACTGAGAACTTTCACAGCTTGCCGGCTTGCCTAGGTCCTAGGTTTGTGGAGACTCTGGCGCGGGCCATTCATGTTTGGGAGTTGCGCCCAAGTTCCCAAATGCATTATGGTAGGCTCGCAAAGACTTTTGGTAGATAACCCCAAACCCCACACTTCAGACCCCAAACTCTGCTAAAGCTAGACTAGAGGCTCTGAACTAAAATGCAGTCAGAGACTCATAGCCCAGAGCTGTGAGAATTCGCTGACACGTGCTGCCCTGACGAAAGTTCGGCCGCAGAGCGCTTCCAGTTGTGAACCAGCCTTGGATTGGAGAATTTTGAAGGTCCTGGATTAAAGGTTTGGGACTTACAGTGCTTCGGGAGAAGGGCTTTGAAGCTCCTTGGTGTAGGGTTCGAGGCTAAAAGAAGCATCCTGAAAGCTAGATCAGGGCCCAGGATCGCTTGATAAGATTCTGTGGCTGCTCAGGTAAAGATTTCTTGTTATTTGAGGATGCGGGGAATGGTCCTTCAAGAAGGAAGCTGCCAGCAATGGTGAACCCGCTGTGACTACGGAATTCAGGGGTTGAGCGGAAGGCTGTAAAGCGCCGTGAGAAACTGCCAGCGAAAGGCCCTTTTTGCTTTCAAGCCGGGTGGCGGCTCATCCAATAGCTGGCCAGGTGCAAGGGCACCTCGACTGCTAACACAGTTGCCAGGTTGTTATGAACCACTTGCATCATCCGTCATGACTGTGTCCATTACAATGGTCTGTAGACCTTATCTGGTTGGATCTTGGGTGCTTCCCGCCTTCTCAACACTAGACTAAAGTCGCAGAAATTTGACAGGCCGCCGATGATGGGTTTATGCGGCACCTTTAGTCGTGTACTCAAGCTGGCCATTTTGTGGGCCCTGAGGAGGCCCGAGTCTAATCTTCAGATGAGCCCTATAAGCTCAAAACCCCAAGCCTGCCCCAAATCCAGCAGCTTAATTGGTTGCTGCTGAAGGCGCGACCAAACCAATAGCAGAAAGGCAAACTAGCGGGGATCCACCTCCCAAGAGGGTGCCCCAGCCTGCGCATAACATGATGTTTGGGGTCTACAGGGCTTCAGGCTTCGGGTTGAAGACTTAGGGCCCAGAGCCCGAGGTTTAAGGCTGTTGACTAATCATTGAGATCTGCCTCGGACAATTGCTTACTGGTTCTCAGAAGGGAAGAAAGGAATAGAAGACCCATGTAATCCCTGTATGATATACTCCCTTGTTCCCTACTAAGAACCAGTAAGATTGAGTTATAGGGTCGAGGGTGATCAGTCCTCGAGGACAGAGGGTCTAAGGCGCAGATTTTACTTCCATTTGCAGTTCCTGATGCAGTGAAATTTTCTTAGGATCATTTTCAAAATCCCACGGCTTTCATGGGCTTACCCCGAAGGACAACTTGACATGGACCATGATGCTCACGGATCTCTGTTGTGCAGCCCATCTGGGCAATCTGGGCAGCTGTGGCCGTTCATGTGCAGAACGTTGTTAAGGCAAAAGTTTGCGCAAGCTTTTCTACGTTTTGATGACGGCAGCATGCACACTTTTACAAATGTCATGTTCATACTGCGACATAAAGACACACTGACATGACTTGGTAATCAAGACAGTACTTGTATATTGCTGCTGTAAGGCTATCATGACAGTCCCGTGGCAGTCAAAAACAACCAAAATATTCTGGAAAAACCACTCCAGCTACTTGGCCTTTGCCAGAGTCGTGAAAGTTTCGCGAAGACACCACCCACATCGACAGCACGTACAGCCTGCAAACGGGAAAGCTCTAGAAGCCAACACGCAAGACCGAAGCCCAAGTATTTGTTATTGACTTGTTGCTAGCAGTTGCTACAAAGATTCTGCAACGGCTGGCAGAAAGACAACCAACGAATGATGTGACTTGGTGATAAACTGCTCCAAGTTGCAGCCCATGCAAGAACCACACGCGGTGGGTGGCGGCAAAGACGCCCCACCTCAGAAAGAGACATGGAAGCCCCAAAGCAACAGAAACAGCCAGGCAATGTAGTCAATGGCAAAGCGCTGCTTTGAGGTTCACGAAAGATTGTTGAAATCATGTCCAATGTGTACCGTTCCTGTTGTTGCGATCAAGAACTGGAAGGAAGAACGGCAGGGCCACTCTGACAACGAACCCGAAATCCCCAACGCACTATCACACGTCTCATTCTCTGGGGATCGCCTCAACAGCAGTGCAATCGTGCAACCAACAGGCAGCACAACACCGCTGGGTATGCCTTCATTCTTAACAGGCACGCATAAAAGAGCCAAACTGTCAAGAAACTCCCTTCTACCGGTGTACATAACAGACACGCACGAGGGAGCCAAACTGTCGAAAAAACTTCCTTCTACTTACGGTGGATGGAGGAAATCTTGTGCCACTTAGGATCCCCAAAATTCTGCAACTAGTGGGGTAATTATAGGCTATTTTCAGTGGCACGAGACTCCTCCATCCACAGCAGCACACTCCAGCAAAGCCCTGTAACATTGCATGGCCTGTCGGCATGAAAGATGACCCCAAAAAAAAACGGGCCAGCAACAACAGCTGGGCTGAGCATAAGAAAAGGACCTGACGTTGCCACATCATGGCCTTTCGCGATCCCAATCTGACCCTAAACCCTAAACACTAAACCCTAGAAACCCTAAACCCCTAACTCTAAACCCTAAACCGTATCCAGGCTATGGTGCCAGGAATGAACTTCTCGGTGGGTCTTCGAGTTGCCAAGAGCACTTGCCCAGTCCACCTGCACGAGCATCACAAAAAACACTGTTAATGATTTTTGGGCCCTCAAACCCTATTATTGGGTCTTTGGACCCTTAGGACCTTAGGATGTACTAACCACATACCCGAAACCTTCAAAGGTCCAGGGCCATGGGCACTGTCCCGAGTAAGAACACCCCAAACACTTCACGACAATTTTTTGGACCTCAAGCTCCTTCCGAAAAAGTAGGCTCATTCTCTGCGCTCGATGCAGCAGGGCTTGAAGCGCATGGGAACTCGTCGGTCGGGCCTTGCGGCCCGAAGAGTGAGGACCAATCGGCTACATCACCATCAACCTGTTTGGTGAAACTGGATGGCAGTTCTTCTTCTTTGGCCTCTGCGGGGAAATTCGCCTGGGAATCATCGCCCGGTACCCAGGGTGGAATCGCATCAGCCAAGTCTTCCCAAATCAGCTTATTGAAGAAGGAATGGCGCTTCAATCCTTGAAAGCCTTTCACTTCAGGAAGCCGCTTCTCGGGCACTGCGTGGCACAATTTGCGAATCAGATGTTTGGCCGGACTGGACATGGCTGAAGGGAACTTCACGTTTTCGATACCCTTCATGATGAGTCGGTAGATGCCAAAGGCGTCCGGAGAAACGAAAGGAATGTCTCCAGTCAGCAGCTCGAAGAGCATGACACCAGCGCACCACCAGTCCACGGAAAATGAATGGCCTGATCCACTAACAATTTCTGGTGAAAAGTAGTCAGGAGTACCACATTGAGTGTAGGTCTTGTCGACGAGGAATTTGGAAAGGCCGAAATCCACAAGCTTCAGTACGCCTCTGGAGTCCAGCGCGCAGTCCTCTGGCTTGAGAGAGCGCAGCATCACCCGCAGCTTGTGCAAGTGCTCCACGCCTGACAAAGCACAGGCCATGTAGTAGCGAGCGTGAGTCTCAGAGCCACGGAGGTCTTTGGTCCTATAGGTAGCAGCAAGCTCGCCGCCGACCAGCCCCTCTTGCTTAAAGTAAACGTACTTGCACGTGTGGCAGCAGCCATGATAAGCCACAACGAATGGAGAAGGACAAATCTTTGTGGCTGCGAGCACGCGTTTTTCAGTGAGCAAACTTTGCCTGAGACCCCCCGCTTTGGGAACAGCCTTCCATGCAGCGACGCTGGAATCGGGTTCTTCCACCAGTTGCACTCGGCCAAATCCACCAGCTCCTAGCTGGTGTCTTAGCCGCAGCCGCTCAAAGTTGGTGTCAACCAAAAAGGGTTCAGCCGGTTCCGCTGAAGCTTCGGCATCTGCCAGATTGTTGGGGTTGGGCTCCTCATGCTCCTCCAACGGCTCAGCATTCATCTTTTCGCACGACTCCGCTGCGTCTGAGAGGAGACCTGGCAAGGACTCGGCTGGCGGCCTTGTTGAAAGAATCTCCGGCACCTTGGTCTGGAAAATGCGGTTTTCCTGAGCATACTGTTGGGAGGTCTTCGGCGATTTCTTGACCTTGTTCAAGGGCAAAACACTACCCTTGTAGAAATGACGCCTGAAGTACCATGCCAGGGCCAGGACCACCCCGACCGTCAAGGCGGAAACCAGAGCAAGGCTTGCAAACTGCCACCACATGGCGCGGGCACGCAATGGACCCCAACAAGGCAAACTGTCCAATTTGAGCCCTGACAGTTCGAGCTGTTGGCCATAACACCAAGACAATGATGACGACTAATGCCACGATGATGACGATGCCGGCAATGCACGTGTCTGGCATTCGACTCAGTGTCGGAAGGCATATTTGAGGGCCTGCAGTTTCAAGTGAGCGCTACTGTAGCAAGAGCTGATTTCAGGACTGTGTACCGGCGGCAAATTGCTGCTCCTTTACGGATAGTATCATCAGAATATGCAGAATAATTACAAAGAGCATTTCCCTCGCAGGAAGCGGCCACTAAGTCGATGTGCCCGTGACTTTTTCACGGATATAGTTGGGCGCACTGAGCCAACCAGCCATCCTAACCAACCCAGCAAAACAAGCCAGACAGCTTTCCAATCGTGACTCCTCTTGCGGTTCTTGAAGCTGCCCCTTTCCAAATGAGGTCTTGTAAATTATACTATATATATATATTACATATATGGACAGCCTTTGCATAACGGAAAGACCAGGTCCGACCTGAAGCACATGCGGAAGCGGGTAAAAGCGTTATGACAGCAGGACGAGGAATAGCAGCAGTTCATAGCACGATCAGTGATACAAGTAAGACGCAAAACGACTGAGATATAGGACTCGTCCTCGTGATGCTCGTCATGGCGCTCGGCTTCGTCATGTTGATACTATAGTAGCTGCGGGGGCGGCTGTGGCCGGGGGAGCGGCGGCTTGCAGCACTAGCAGTAGTACTTGGACTAGCAAAACTACAGTAGTACATGTCCATGGACCTAGAACAGTCGTAAAAACAATCCAAATGGTTGAGCTTGCAATTACTTGCGCTTGCGCGTCTTATGCTCGTAATCGCAATGTCATGGTGTTGTCCATGCGTCTTTCGACATGCTCCACAGGAATTAGGCATGCAAACTGTTGAGCAGAGACCCAACAATTGTGTAGTGAGGTTTTCCTGTACCAATCCGATCCAGAACCCATGCATCCCGGGCATGTGAACTCCCGGCCAGGGTGTGGAAAAAATCGACCATTACTTCACCTTTCTCGGCGGCAGCAAAGCTTGAATCGCAAGATTGGCAAGCGGCTCAGCCAAAGAAAAACTGGCCCGCCAGCGCACAGTGTCCCTTCTGAAGTTTTCCACGTGTTCATACGAGTTGAATACCCGTGATTTCAACTGTGTACCACACTCGCAATAGGACTGACAAACCACTCAAATAGATAAGAATCAAAATGAAAAGAGAAATCAGGACAATCTTAGTGAACATCGAGCAGGCCGAGTGGCCTTCTTCAGGGCCTCGTACCGATGTTGCTTAGGAAGATCGAATAGATTCCTGAAGTTCCAATGACCGAGCCCTTTTGTGGGAGCTTCTTTCATGTCTTGGTACTGAATAACAGGTAAACTTGAAATTCAGAGGTCGGGGGGGGGTTCGTTCTCTATGGGTCATGCCAGGATTGTTACAGGAGTTGCTCAAGGATAGTTTTACAGCAGTTGCTCAAGGATATTGCATGTCATCTATCTATTGCACAGAAGTCGTTTAGCAAGGCGCAGTACTTTGTATTTCGCGGCAACGGTGGCGGCTATGACAATGGCTTGCCCTACAAGTAACAATGCACATCATACTCCTCCTGATCCCAATTTGGCGGAACAACCGCCCCGCGCCAATAAATGCCCTTGTTCCCGCAATGTACGAGAATTGAGAACACCAAAGCAACATTCCAAGCTTATGCTATCCTTGGAAAATGACCCACCAGCATGGACTCATAAGTTTCGCTAAGCCGCGGAATGGCCGCCTGCAAGCGCTTTGGATCCTGGAACAGCTCGTTCCTGAAAGGTCTGGGTGCTTAGGACCTGCAATGGGTCGACTTTGAAAGCGTAGCAGGATGGATGAGTTTGAATCATATGCAAAGCCCTTCAAGTCAAAAAAGAGAGCTCCTACAAAGCTGATGTGATTCTCGTCTTGTCATCTCCGTCTAGCTCATATCTGTGCCACTCTCTGTTCTCGGTCGCGCGGTGCAGCACTCCTGGTCCACGGCATACTACCTCCAAGAGAAAAGGAATCCAAGTCCAGAGGTGATCCACAAAGGAGACCAGGTTTTGAGAAGCCTCATGCCCATTCGACGATATCCATTCCACACCTGACCCCGCATCATCCCGCGAAGAACCCAGCTGAGATCAGGTCCAGTCATCATGGTTTGCGCCTAGAGCTGGGTCGGGCCGAAAGCGTCAGGGATTGCATAAGGCTAACAAGTCTTGGTTGCTTTGGTCAGAATGTAGAATTCACAACAGGCCATGGCATTGAATAGCATGCCAGAGACGCTTCGAACCCTCGCAGTTGCAAAATCTAGGAGCAGCGCGAGCATGCAGGCTTGATGCGATCAACGAGTTCCCATGTGAAGGGTCTGTACCAAAGGTATTGCTCGTCGAACTTTCCAGAACTTCTTCGACTAAGTCTTCCAAAGCACCCGCTGAAATGCCTGGGGGCAGCACAGTCTGGTGGCAGATAGGTGGCGTAGCCGTCCTTGAGAACCTTATCCTTAGTAGGCAGGCTGAAAGGTTCCTTCGAGGTCAGCTATTGTTGAGTTGCTGACGATTTGATAGGAGGTCGCCAAATTTGCGAGATCTGAGAGCACGAGTCAAAAAAAACCGGAGTGAAGAAGCATGGCAAGATGACTGTTCAGACAGTCCACATTGCTGCACAAGGGCTCCTATAGGTGCTCATGGACCCGAAACCCACGGAGCGTGCGAGTGCGGGGTGCAACAAGCTGGCCTGTTTATTCTGAAGCTCAATCCTTGATGCACGGCCTGATCTCTGCCACCCTTAGTCCTCCCCAGCCGCAACTGCAGCCGAAGTGTCATCCTTCTGTCGCTGTGTTGGCTGCTCAGGCCCCACCTTGACGTAGTGCTCGTCAAAGATCACCTCCGCATTTTGGGGCTCTTTCTTTCCTTAAAGACTGCTTCAAATCAAAAGTTCCAACAGAAGCAAACGAAAGAAGCTTGCACTACTGTCCAGGGAAACACAAGATAGCTTGGATTAAAGCTCTGAATGTCTTTGCCTACGCGATGAAAGGCACATTGCGGCCCCCATCTGAATCTGTGGGATCAAAAGGGAGCCGTCTTCTGAGTACCCCAACCTCAGGCCAGAACTCGATCTTAAGCCGCACAAGCCGGTCGGACACACAAAGAAAAAAATTGCTTATAATGTTGACCTCATATTCATAAACTCATATTCATAAACCCCCCCGTAACTGCAAAATCCGAACCCCAGAGCGTAATTACGAACCGCCCCCCGGTCATTGCAAAATCCAATCTGCCAAAACGCAAAGAAGTCGGAAGCGCCGGAACAGCAATGTGTACTACTGGCTAGTACTACCATTGGCCACGACGACTGGAGCTCCAGCTCATGGGCCTGGATACCCTTAATTACGGAGGCTTGCACATCCTGGGGGTTGGGTAGGGGGGGGGTTTATGATGAGGTGAACATCAAACCTTTCCGCACAAATCATGCAGTAGACACAGGGAACGCCTGATGTCCCTTCCCGCCTTGTAGATGGGCCTTACAATCTTCACCAGGAAGACTCCACTACGAGCAGGACGTTCCTGGGGCTTCAACGAGAATTTGGTGAGTTGGCCCGGGAAGAACCTGAACAGTGATAGAAGCTAGCAGCACAAGAAGTCAGAGCAGTTGTTGCTCAGGTCTTTTCATGTAAGCAATCCCCAATACTGGCCCTAGCACCGACAGCAACAATAATCACTTCGATTCTTGTCAATGTCGTAAAGCAGCAACAGCAACATCACCGGCACCAGCAGCAACAGCAGCAGCAGCAGCAGTAAGCAGAAGATGAAGGAGAAGGATTTGGAATTGCTTGGTTGCTTCTTGCAGTCGTTTTGAAAGCTTTCTTCCTCACACGTGGCTTGCAGAAAGACTATTGAACATTGACAAGCATGAATCAAGTTTGGGATCAGGGTTCGAATTCAAAGCCACCTTGCTTCTGATCCTGGTCTAGTTGGCAACAGTTATCGCAACAACAGCTGAGTTGAAAACAGCTGAAACCCTCCCTGGTTTCATTGCCTGAACAAACCGCCAGAAGCACAGACAGAGGACGTCCATTAACAAAGGGATCTTTACGAAACTGGCTTCAGGAACCCCTCAGTCCCCTCGTCCATGTTGGGCCTCGCAGGGGCTCGCCTCTGCATCCAGCGCCAGCTGCGTGATGAAGCAAAGCATCTCGGGCATGAAGCGGAGGTTGCCTTGCATACTTTGCGTTTACTGGCCCTTGAAAGTCTCAAGATCCGAGTTTTTTTGGGGAATGCCAGTTGGGCACTGCTGTTGGGGGATGCACTACACTTGTGCTCCCACTAACATTATATAATTTGTGCTTATGGCTAGTTGTGCTACTACCTTGTGATTGTTGTCAAGCTTCGGCGGGGGGTTCTATATCACTGGATACGAAGCGAATCAGAAAAAAACACGGTTCCCAACAACCTCTGAAGCCTTGGCTCCTCATGAGAGGACCCTGAAGTAACATGCCCATTTTGGTTGGAGGATTTGTGTCAAGCCCCAAGCCCTGCTAAGACCAACCCGAGATGAATGATTTCAAGCGCCCACAAAATCCGAACATGCCCTAAACAGACCCTGGTCAAAATCTAGACGACCTGAAAAAAGTACAAGCCCTGTCTCGGGGATTTCTGGAAACGATGTTCCTTCGAACCATGTTCTAGTACAATTCCGGTATCTTCAAAAGTCATTACAAACATCTCTCTCCCTCTCTACACGCCATGCCTGCTTCACCCCAAACGAGTAGGAAGGTGGCCACCTCCTGAATCACAGCAGCGCTGATGGAGCGCTACTTTCCATCTTTGCGGTTCTTCTTTTGTTGTTAGCTTGTTTCAGCCTACCATTCACCTTGTGGTGGAGAAAGGCTTTCTCAAGCTTATGAACTTAAGTCTACTGAGGATCTGCATATGGGAAGTGTGACGCAGAGACCCTAGAGCGATTTCATGTACACCTCACAGAGCAATGAAGAAAA